TCCATGATTTAATTCAAAAATATTTGATTTGGTTTAGTTAGGTTCATCATATGATGATGAGACCTAGCTAAATCAAATCTATGAAAAATTAGGAGCAAAATGAGTCTAATATGCAAAATTTTGCCTAGGCCCAATTCTGACCCAATTACTAGTAAGACCTTCAAGCATTGCTAAATGCCACCCTTTTTTCCTACTGAAAAAATATAAAATGAATTTATCAACAAAGGAGGTTAAATGGAGTTAAACTCTCCAAGTAACCCGCCCGGCGTGGACCAACCAGAGAGCTCCAAGGCTCTCACGCACCCGGCACAATTCCCATTGCGCCCAGTACAACCAAAGGTAGAGACTCTCAGGAGTCTCACCCGCCCGGCATACCAAACTCACGCTCAGCACGAGCAAGGAAGAGACCTCACCAAGGTCTCACGCTCGACACAATTCTAATTGCGCCTGGCACCACCCCTGGCAGAGACTCCTAGGGAGTCTCCACGCCCAGCGAGACATAGTCATGCCCGGCGCCATACCAGAACCCCAAAATGTGAGTCCCTGTTTGATATCACGCCCAACGCGGTCCAACCACGCCCGACGTGAGCCATCTAAGGACCTCCATTCCCAAGCCTTGCACCTGGCATGCTTGACCAATGGAACCCTCTGATGGTCACGCGCCCAGCGCCAAGAACTACGCCCGGCGTACTATCAAACAGTAACCCTCAAACTTCAAAATTTTTCACCAAAACTTGCAAAAACAAGCAATCCAAGCACATGCAATCCACCCAAAACACCACATTTTCATCAAACAGCTCAAAAGTCACAGCTTTATCAACATGCAACCATCAAAACATGAAATCCCAAATTTTCACCCTTTTTGGTTTTCCCTTGCACCTTAAGCTTGGATGCTTCCTTCTAAGGCTTAGGCCTGGCAATCCGCAAGTTCTTCTCCTTCTAAAGTGTTCGTCACTTTGATTTTATCTCCTTTGAAGAAGATCCGTGCTTAGGAGGAGCTAAGGAGGGGATCATTCATCACTTCTCCTACTTCTTCCATCATGTATTCAGATTTTTTAATAACATTTTTATTCTTGTAACTACTCTCAAATCACTCACTTTCCTAATATAAAATATCCACTAATTTGTAACTTATTCTATTTTTTATTTCTTATTTTTCTTTAAGAGAAAGCGGAAACAAACATGAAAAATTGTTGAAGTAAAATTGATTCAAACAATTTTTTTTTATTTCAAAAAATACACAATTACACGAAATGTTATTTTACACCGATAATAATAATAAAGCTACCATATTTCTGATATATACTACCAGGTTGGCAACTAACTGTAACTAAGCCTAAGTGGAATAAACCTCTCCCAGAGATATTCAATAATCCGTGGGCATGCTAAATGATGAGTTAAGCACGAAATAATTTGTCCCGAATATTTGCCAAAGTACTTAATTTATGTGGTCAAGATTTCAGTCAGTAGAACACAGGACAAAGATAAACATTAACATAACTCCAGAGACCACAAGAAGAAAACATTTTAAGAGTATACATTTTAAGATCACAGAGACACCCTTTTCAAAAAAAAAAAAAAAAAGAAGAAGAAAATAAAGATCACAGAGACAGAATATAAAGTGAGGAAAAAGTCTACTCTCCAGGTGCCGAGACACCCTGCTTCAGTCTCTCCTTTTTCATCTTCTTCTTTGAGATTGGCTTCTTTTTTCTTGGAGGGAGGGTCTTCTGTGCATATATGTAGAGTACATAATTTCCAACGAGGAATATCAACAGCAACCCACCAACAAGAAGGAGAACAATTAATGCTGGGTTGAACCCTTTTGAAGCATTTCCCTAAGTGTATCAAAAACGAGACACTTCCATAAGGTCTACGTCAAGGAGCGCTTAAGAAAAAGAAATTACAAAATTAACAATCGATATAGAGGAGTATATTTTACAAAGAGAACAAAAAAATGCAATTAACCACCACAATTATAATTTTCTTCAAAAGTGAGCCTCTGTTTATTGCAAAAGAAGAATAACAACAGGAGAAAGGTGATTTTATCTGAACTGGTTAAGGTAGAACTTTCTCTTTTAAAAATAGAATATTCCCTCTATAATTATTTTATGATTGCACTTGCTTGAGATTGGTGATAAAGGTTTATGAAATTCGAATATTTGAAGGGGCAACTTTTATGCCCAAAGTGTACTTAAAATTTGCAAGATATCTTGCTGAGAATTTATAAGAAATGATGATAACTTCTAACTGAGTTTTATAGTAAACTCAAAATTGATGGAAATTATGATTACAATTTTCAAATCCAATATCTCAGCTAATAAAACAAAGGGTTAAACATCTTTTTCATTCTCCTAAACATGTAAATGTTCGTTTTTCGTCTTCCAATTTTAAATCATCTACTTTTGATCCTCCATTTTTTAAATTGTGTGAAAATTTACCTCCTAGTTAACACCGTTAAAATTTAACGATTATCTTAGTCTGCACAATACATGTCATCACACTTACCAACTTCGACTTCACGTATATACATTTAATGCTTGCTAACTTGGACTCCATGATCAACTACCTAACCCATAATCCAGAAAAGATCACAAACACTTTGCAAAAACAACAGACACAACATCATAGTGATTGCCCAACATTAACTCAAGTAGACATGTGTGATGACTTGTATTTTGCTTACTAGGATAATCATTAAATTGAGATAAAGGAGTTAGCGGGGGAATATGGTAAATTTTGACAAATTTTAAAAATGAAGGACCAAGAGTTGATGTTTTAAAATTGAGAGAGGAAAAATGAACATTTACATATTTTAGAAGACGAAAAAGATGTTTAACCTTAAAAAAAAAATAACATCTCCAAGTTGTTTTGGTTTTCTACTTTCAATTTTTTACTATAATTATGTTTTTTTATTGCACTTTTAAATCTTCCCCTGCACTTTCTCTCAAAAATCATACAAATCGCACAAACCAAATTTTGAAACACACAGAATACTACAAGCTTGATCAGAATGTTATTTCGCTACACAATCAAAAAAAATGTTAGTCCCTACTTCAGAAATGCAAAATGGTCTTTGATCTATTGGTTGTAACATTAAATGTTGTTGTAGTATACCCAAAAATTAGTCCTTAAGATTGTATTGTAGTTTAATCCATAAGATTTCAAATATCCTCCGCCAATCCTTGATTTTACAAAACCGGCATTCACTGTAGTCCTTTTTAGTTTTGAATACAAAAAGACGGTATAAACTAACGAAAGACTTTCAGAGGATTTTTAAAGTCTCATCTCATAGGCTAAAATGTATGACTAATACAATCTCAAGAACTAATTAAGGAAATATTTAGCTTTAGAAAACATACTGTTTCGTATTTAATTATAAAAATATTACCTTGTTTTCACTTTATTTTGTTTCTTGTTTGAAAAGTTTATATATTAAAAACAAAAGATGAAAATGAAAATACAAACCAATAAAAAATTTTTTTTGGCCAAAATACACTTTATAATCGGCTTTTTCATAATCAGCTGTTCATAATTTTGATCCTTATTTTTTTTTTAATTCCACAATTTAAGTCCTTTAATTTTATAAAATCTACAATGTTAGTTTCTTCATTGAAATTGAAGAATTAAAATTACGTAATTTAGAAATTCAGAGACCAAAATTGTACATTAAATATTATATGACAACTAAAAATGCATTTTAGCCAAAAAGTTTTCATTATTTTCTACACAAACATTTGAAACCATGAAACAAAATCAAAACAATGGACCATTTTGCAATTAAAATCGCAAACAGAATATGAAAAGAGAAAACATTTTTTTTTCAAATCAAATGTTCAATGTTGTTGATACACGAAACTCGAAAGAGAATTTTATGCATCAAGGAAAGGTAAACCTTTTGACATGCATTTAAAATTCATTAGACAAAAAGAAATTTTTTTTACTGAACCATCGGTTCCGCTGTTTGAACACAGCAATGTCCTTTTCTGCTATATATTCATGTTAGATCCAACACACGGATTGGCATAAAATCTCAAATAAGAAACGCATCGAACAAATTGAAACAATTATCCCACACATGAAGCAAATTAAAGCATAAGAATGCCTAAGGGAAAAGCAAAATTCAGAAACAAGCAGAAATGAAGAGCAAAGCGTTGAATTTGAGAGCAAAGGCAAACAAAATGTAACTAGAAAGAGAAATGAACAATTATTGTTTACAGAATAGCGATGATTGAAAGAAAAGGAAAAGTGAAAAGAGAAAGGAATCGAATACCACGCGATCGAAGGAAGGAGGGACTTTGTCGGCGAAATCGAAATCGTCGGCCATGGATCTACGGTGAGAAGAATGAGTGCTGTTCGTTTTCTGCACAATCTACCAAATTTATATTCACACACATGCTTTCTCTTTTTTATTTTATTCTCTTAATGGCACAAATGTTGAATTTTTTACTTAAATAATATTTTTTTTTAAAAAAATTACCTAATTAGGCACTATACAAGTTTATTTACAGAAGTAGAACCATTCACTGTTTAAGCTCAGAATTCGGTTCTTGAGGAACCGAATTCTGAGCTTCAAAGTGTATTTTTTTTTCTTTTTGCAACTCAGAATTTGGTTCCCCGGGAACCGAATTCTGAGTTGATTTTATATATTTTTTTTCGTGTTTGCAGGGAAACGTGAGCAAGTGTTGGAAGCGGAACGGCCCGTTCCGAAAGCAGAACGGGCCGTTCTGCTTAAAGGTACAGAGTGATAATTGTGAAAGTGAAACGGGTGAAGAACGGGCCGTTCCAGAGTTAAGAATTAACGTTGAAAAAGATGTTGGAAGCGGCCCGTTTTAAACAAAACTTTTGGTCATTTTTTGTTAACGTGGAACGGGCCGTTCTTGTTTTAGAACAGTCCGTTCTAAAATAGAAATTTACACATGTTTTTACTCCTGGAACGGGCCGTTCCAGGAGATTTTTTAACAAAGGTTTTGTGATTCAGAACGGGCCGTTCCGGTTTTGGAACGGCCCGTTCTGGGTGAACAGTAAAAACGCAAGTTTTTTTATAAATAGACCCCCTCCCCTTCATTTTTTTATGTGATTTCAGCTGAGTTTGTTTTTTTTACTCGTTTCCTGTACTGCTTCTAATTCACCTTGATAGTAAGAAATTATTTTTTTGGTTCAATTTGCACAACTACTCAGCACCTACAACACCAATGTTTGAGAATTCTGAGACTAAGACAAGGAGAGTGTGATAGACTATGGCCAAGGCCAAGGAATCCAAGAGGTGATATCTTAAAAGAACCAAGAGGAATGGGATGATCTTAAAGACCTTTTCATATGTTTGTACATATAGTAGTTTCTTTGTATATGCTTGTTTTTGCCTTTGTATTTGTGAGGCACTTTACTTGCTTTTATTAGTCATTGTATATTGATTTTAGGGTAGGTTACTTGGAGAGTTTAACTCCATTTAACCTCCTTTGTTGATAAATTCATTTTATATTTTTTCAGTAGGGAAAAAGGGTGGCATTTAGCAATGCTTGAAGGTCTTACTAGTAATTGGGTCAGAATTGGGCCTAGGCAAAATTTTGCATATTAGACTCATTTTGCTCCTAATTTTTCATAGATTTGATTTAGCTAGGTCTCATCATCATATGATGAACCTAACTAAACCAAATCAAATATTTTTGAATTAAATCATGGATCAATTTTTAGCCTTGGCCGCCTAGCTCATTCCTTTTGTCTTGGCCGAAATTTCTAGCTTCTCCTACAAGCTTTGAAGCTTTCCTTCCAAGTCTCTAAACCTTGGTAGGTTAGGCTGACCTTACCATGGTTCTTAAGTGAACCATGGTCAAGGTTAGCTTCTCCTACAAGTTTTAGAAACCATGGATGGTTAGATACACCTTACCATGGTTCCTAGTGAACCATGGTTAAGGTTAGCTT